CTAGTTTGGCTTTGTGACATGGGGTGGGGGGTGACAGGGAAGAAAAGTCATACCCTCCCTAACCTTGAATGCACCCTACTGCTCTCAAGCTGGGTTTCCCGAAATCCGGAGAAGTCTTTTTGGAGGAGGGTGGGGGTAGGAGCCTGGGCAAAGGTGGGGGTATGGGGGGTGGCCCACAGATTTCTCTACACTCCTCCAGTTTCTGATGACTCAGGTCCCCAGCTTCCACAGCCCGCTCCGGGGGTGATGTCAGGGAGAAGTGCCAGAAACTAGAATCAGCCCCCGGGGCTCTGGGGTCCTATAAATTTAGGCCCGTGGGAGCCTCCTCAGGGTCCTGGGGCCCTTCCTCATCCCTCAGGTCCCAAGGAGTCAGCTGGTTTCAATCTTTGCATTTGGGGTTAGGAGCCGGCAGCCATAGTGTGATGAAATCCCCTGGACTCCCTGGCCTGGGGAGGCCAGGACAAAAGGCTTCTAGCCCTGACATTGCTCCCAGAGCTGGCTGCCTCTATAACGACCTGTTGGGGCAACTGGTTTTCCATCTCTGGACCTCATTTTCCTCACCTGCAAAATGCTTCCAGCCATGAAATCCTCGGGCGCGATAACTAATCTCTTTTGGCATCCTGTTCCAGTGTCTCAGATCAGAGAGCCAGAACAGTTCTGAGATGCTTACCCTTTTCACCAACTGGATGACCTTGGGCAGATCATTTAACCTTACTGAGCCGGTGTGTCCTTATCTAAATCTACATTCCTATAAATCCAGGCACATTCCATCTACCAAGAAGCAAGGACTCAGCTGTTGGCAGGCAGCCATGGAGAGAATGCTTCATTTGGAGTCAGGAAAACCTGGGTTCAAATCCTGCCTGTGTGACCCTGGGCAAGTCCCTTAATCTCTCAGATTCCTCATCTGTGTGGAGTGGGGGGAAGGATTGGTCTCTAAGGTCCTTTCCACATTGAAATCTATGAGCTTGTGATCTTGTTCCCATAGGAGTAAAGTAAGTCAGAAGGACAACAATCAGAGCCTTGGGAGAGCTCCAAGGATCTGTCTCCACAGCCAGGTGGCGCAGTGGATAGAGCACCGGCCCTGAAGTCAGGAGGACCTGAGTTCAAATCTGGTCTCAGACCAGACTTGACGCTTACTAGCTGTGTGACCCTGGGCAAGTCGCTTAACCCCATTGCCTCATCAAGAAAAAAAAAAAAAGATGTTTGAATGAAAGCTGGTCCTTTTATCTTTTGTTTGTGGGGCAGAAAAGGGAAAATAAAGGGGAAGAAAGGAGCAAGGAGAATGCACAACCTCAGCAAAGTCTCAGGGAGCATGAATCTGCTGGGTGACCAGCTTCAAAGGAACTGGACCTCCTTAGCCCTTACTAACTTTCGTTAACATGGGCTCTGGAACTGGAAGGGCTCTCGTGTCATGATTTTGTCCAACCCCCTTATTTTACAGTGGAGGAAACCGAGGGCCACTTGATCGCTCAAGGTCACCCAGCAATGGATTGACAGATCTCAAATCTAGTGGTCTTTCCATTTCACCCCACTGCCTCATCTCCTCCAAAACAGAAATGGGGGACGCTGGCCCTGCCATCTCAGCATGGCTTAGCTTCTAAGGGAAACCTGAAAAGCCTGGGAACCTGGAAGCTGGTGCTGGGAATCAGAGGCTAGGGAATTGTCGGAGACCGCTGCATGCAGAGGTTTTAGAAAAGGGGTCACTGTAGATGGACAAACATTTAGTTGGGTTCAAGTCTGATGCCTACTGGCTATGTGACCCTGGCTAAGTCACTAAATCTCTCAGTGTCACTAGGAGCTCTCCAAGACTACAAACAGAACAGGAGTTAATTTGCAGTCTGTGTTGGTAAGTTTCCTCACAGGGAATTTCCTGTATTGATTAAATCACAGGCCCCAGGTTGGAGGGCCAGGGGAAAGATATGCATAGCAAATAAATAATTGAGCAATGTTGATGGGCTCACAGGATAGAGTTGGAAGGGACCTTAAAGTTCAGCTAGTTAGATTTCCCTTATTTTGCAGAGGAGGAAATTGAGACCCAGAGAGGAGGTCACCCAGGCAAGTGAGAGGTGCAGGATTTGAACCCAGGCCTACTAACTCCAAATCCAGTGCTTGTTTCACTGAGGTAGGACGGCAGATTACAGCCTGTGGCCAGTTGAGTCCATGGCACACTGACCAGTGGGCTGGGGGTGGAAAGTGGGATTTGACCACTTTCTCTAGTTCCTCTAAGTACATTTCTCAAAGTCTTTTTTCTCAGCCTCCTGCTGCTATTTGAACATCAGGCCCCAGGCTGAGGATGCTCCGAGGAGCCAATCAAATGTAGAACCCTCCCTCTCCACCCCCACCAAATCTAAGAAGTAGGAAAACAGTCCTGGAGCAGCAGGGGGGGTGAGAGATGGTGGTGGTACAACCAGTCCTGCCACGGGGCAGCCTGCCACATTCATCTCTCCAGCTCCCTGTGCCAGGGTCCTAGCTCTACCCTGCATGCCCTCTGGCCTCCAGAGTGACAGATATTCTAGTAATGGGGCTCCCTGGGGGAGCTGGCTTTGAAAACTCCACAGCAATGGGAGCAACTCTCACTCTGCTTTCTGCTTGGACTAGCTTTGCCTGTCCTGGCACCTGGCTAAAGCTGGTGGGTCCTTCCTGAGCTCTTTCTCTCTCTGTCTCTCTCTGTGTAGTTAGTATACATTCATATGATGTACGTAGTATACTGTAGGGATGTATTACTGACCCCTTAGTTTTGCCCCAGAGTGAGGCATTCTGGGTTCTAATTCCAGCTCTTCCTTCTGCCCCATTTCACTGGATCAGAATCTCACTAGGCTCCAGAAAACAAACCAAGGCTGACCCCTCCCCCTCCCTTCCTTTGGAGAGGGCACTAAGTGGAAGAATTGGCTTGGGCCCTTTGATAGAGAAGCGGTATCATGTAGTTCCAAAGGCTGAACTCTAGAACATCTAAGTCCAATTTCTGGACAGATGGCATCTCCTAAATTGAGCCCCACCCCCAGTCACCCCAAGTCCACTGTCTCACCCATTCTTTACCCTCAGATCCCTTCCTCCCGTATCCGCCCAAACCAATTCCAGACTCTTCTCTACGCTGCCCTGCTCTGCCTTCCCTAGGGACAGAAGCATTGACTTCTGATGTTACTTGATCCCCAAAGGTCCCTCCCTTTCTTTTGGCTTCCTTGAGGCCTCGGGACCAATAGCCCAGGTCCTGGTAGCCCCAGAGAGGGAGAGAAGGGTCAATAGGCTCATTCTTTCTACCCTCCCATGCTACAATTGCAGGGCAGAGAGGCTACTGGAAATATGGGAAGGGGTGTTAGCCAGGGGAGCAGGCTACTAAACTCCTAACCAACTCCCCCTGGTGACCTTGAACTTGTTCCCAGGCCTCCATATCTCCGATTGTGAAAACAAAAGATAGCGTCTTCCTTCTTCCTGACTTTGGGTGAGGGGGGCATAGGGCTAGGTCTCAGGTGAAAGAGGAGAGAAGGTGTGAGATGGACATTTTAGGAACCTGGGATAAAGGGAGTAAGGTATGTGGGCCGGACGGTTGAGTCGGGGAGGGGAGTGACTGCTCTTTAGGCCTTTCTTCCCAGGCCAGGGGACAGGACAGGCTGGAGGCTTTGCTGTCCCAGCTGAGTCCACCAGCTCCTTCCCCGCCCCCAAGCCCGGGGACAGGCCTGGGAAACTGTGGGTTTGATCGCCCCTCCCCCCCCACCTTCCCCCAGGCTCTGGAGGGAGGGGGAAGCCCTGGAGTAACAACAACCAATCCTGGCCCTTCGGGTCAGCAGGCTACATGTGCTCTGACTTTCGTCCTGCAGGACCGTGGTCCCTAGGTCTTCGAAAAGATGCAGGCCGGTGGGGAAGGAGTTAAGTCCTCTCTCCCGGCTTTATTATTTTTCCCCCCTGGCCTTGGCAATGACAGCATTGTCTGGGCTCCGGGGCTGCAGTAAGGATCCAGGGGGAGGAGAGGGGGGGAAGGGGGAAGGAGGGAGGGAGGATTGGGGGGATGGGGGAAGAGGGAGAGGGGAAAGAAGGAGGCACCCAGTCTCAAATAGCCAGAGCCCAGAGATTTAAAGGGCGGCGCAGAGTCTTGTCCGCTCCCTCCCGGGCCATCGGGTCCCCGGGTAATAATGAGCTCCTTTCTGGAGGCGGGGGTCATCCCAGACCCCCCCCACCCGAAAGCTGAGCTTTCAATCCCTCCCCACCCCCGTTCCCCTTCCTCCGTACCCCCCCTCCCCAGCCCCGCCTCAGCCTTTTTTCAGGAGGTAGGGAGAGCGGGTTTAACGTTCTGGGCAGTCTGGAAGGGCTCTGTCCAGCAGCCAAAGGCAGAACCCCCTGACCGCCCACCCCTCCACCCCCAGCATCTCCTCCCTCTACTTGCCCAAGCCAGACAACAAGGACAGGAGACCCGGCCCGGCCCATGGCCACGGCCACAGTCACAGCCACGGCGCGCTCACACGCGAGAGCGCGCGCGCGCACACACGCAGATACAGACCCACAGACACACACACAGACACACACAGACACACAGACACACACACACACACACACACACACACACACACACACACAGGTACATACATAGGTTCCTCCCAAGTGCCTGCAGACACACAGTAGCCGAGAGCACATGGGTCTAAGCAGACGGACTGACGGGCGGACGGACAGACGGACACAGGGATGGGAGGGCGGACGCGCGGGGGACCCCAGGACTAGGCTGCCCCCGCGCCCACCCCGGTCGGGGTCCCTCACGGTCGCAGGCTCCCCCAGAGCGTGAGCTGCGCGGGTAGGAAGCGAGGGGGCGGGGCCCCCTTTCTCTCCCCGTTACCTTCATGTCATTGACGATGGCCTGGAAGAGGCCCCCCAGGGCCCCGCACTCTTTCTCCACAGTCTCCATGCCGGCCGGGGCGCAGGGTTTGGGACTGGCCAAGCGGGCGGGGGGTGGGGGCGCGGCTCCCGGGGCTCTGCGAATCCGCAAGGGAGGAGGGACAAAAAGCCGTGCCAGCCCCGGGGCTGCTCCTGCGAGCCTGGGCGCGGCGGGAGCCCCCGCCTCTGGCCGCGCTAGGCTTCAGCGGCCGGCCGCCCCCCGGGCCCGGGACGCGCGCAGCCGCCGGCCCTCCGCAGCCATGTCCCGCGGCCGGCGGGCTCCGCTCCGCTCCGCTCCGCTCGTGGCCCCGGCCCCCCGCCCCGCGCCAGAGGGAGGCGGCCGCCCCGGGATGGAGGGCCCGCAGCGGCCCGCGTCCGTTCCCCCGCGGCCGTGGGCGCAGGGAGCTGGCGGGGGCGCAGGGCAGCGCAGCGCAGCGCAGCGATCCCGGGGACTGGCGGGGAACGAGCGGGGCGGTAATCCGAGCCCAGGAGGCTCCGGCGTCACATGGGCGCGGGGAGAGGGGGAGGGACCCGGAGGGCGGAGGGAGGGAGAGGAGAGGAGGGGAGCGGAGCCGAGGGGAGGGGGCGGCTGTGGGAAAGGCCGAGCTCAGCGCAGGCCCATTCACGACCAGGAATGAGGACTTTGAAATCCGAGCCCCTGGGCTGCCTTACTGGTTTGGTGAGCTCGGTCCCCCAGCGCCCGGGCTGCGGGGTGGCACAAAGGGGACCTAGAGGGAGGAGGGGGCGCTGCTGAGAAATTGGGACTGGGTATGGATGGATCTTCATGAGACCCCCAGCAGGCCCACTTTGATTTCCGCGGAGGCTTGCCCCCCCTATCATCCAGATTGGGGGGGACACCTAGAAGAGGCCCCTGCACGTTGAAGGCAGAAAGCTCTCATTTCGGGGGCACAGGGACTTATATTTGCGACCCTGGTTGAGGAGTTTGTTTTATGGGGCAGCAGGAAAAAAAAAAAAAAAACCATAACACAAAACAAACCTCAAACATTCCTTTCAGGAAACTCCTGGGTTACAGAGGTAGGCAGGTATGTCACGGGGGAAGGGAGGAGGTGCATCTTCCTTTCCTTTCACGAAGACCCACGTTCAGGCGCACAGAAAGACACCAGATGAACCTATGAGGGTCTTTTTAGCCTCGTCCCTCACCGGGATTCCCTGGAGAGCCAGGCACTTCTTCCTGCCCCCACCCCTCACCCTATAAAGTCTGGCAGGGGGAGGTCTTCAGTGGCCAGTCTCATGGACATCCCTTCCAGCTGGCCCATCTGGGGGCTGGTGGAGTATTAAGAGGCTGGATGCATTTATTAGATGTTTACTGTATTCCAGCTACTGTGCTAAGGGATGGGGATTCAAATACGGACAGAGGCTATGCCATTGGTCTGGTTGATGACTTAAAAGACAAATGAGCATTATGTTTCTTTTGGGACCTAGGGAGGCAAGCCCCTTGGTGGCACAGTGAGAAACCTTGGTGAGGGAAAGGCATCACGGGGTCTCTGGTGCTAGTTTGGCCGACCAAAGCTGAAGTCCCAGGCACTAGGTAGTCATTGGTCACTTATCACTCCTCTATTACGTTCCAGTGGCCTCCCTCCCCCTTCTTTGCTTCTAGCATCAAATGAATGCTCCCGTTTGCCCTTTGTAACCCTTCACAAGCTACCTTGCCAGGCTTATTAATCATTGTTCCCCTTTCCAGCCAAACTGGCCGTCTTGCTGGTCCTCCCAAGACCTTCCAACTCTTCTCTCTGGAATTTTGCATAGCCTGAGTGCAGCTCAAGGGCCATCTTCTCCATGGAGTTTTTCCCGATTTTCCAAGTCGTGGAGACCTTTTTGGGGGACGTCTTGCACACGTTCTGGATATTTCCATCTATATGCACTCCCCCGGTAGAATGTAAGGCCCTGGAAGGCAGGGACCGTTTCATTTCTGTCTTGTACCCCTGGTTTTTAGCACAGTGAGACAACACATTGGAGAGGACTGGCTTTGGAGACCAAGGAGCTCCTGCCTTCTGGGACACTGGTTGTGCCAAGTCATTCAACCCTGGTGCCCCAGATATCTCTTAAGTCTGTAAGTTACAGAAAAGGTGTGACCTGTGTTGGTAGAGGGCACTTCCTCATCTGGGAGTTCCCTAATGAAATCACAGGTCTGATCTCTATCCTCCATGCCTGGCACATAGTAGGGACTTAGTCTTGCTGAATGATCCAGCCAGAACCGCAAGGATGGGGGCAGGTAGGGCGCTTGGGCTCGTTCCCAGCTTTACTCCTGTGACCCTCTCTGCCTCAGTTTTCCCCATAACCTGGGGCTCTGTCTCCCCTGCCCCTTGGAACCCTGGGAGGTTTGGAGAGCCTCTCCCAGAGGGGCCTTCGCCCTGGTCCTCAGACACCACAGCCACCCTGCTGCTGGGAAATAAATCACATTCTAATTTTACAGGGTGTTCATAGCCTTTAAAAGTATTTTTAAAATAAAAACTGGTTCTGTTGATAATTAAGAGGCCTTTGGGATGAAAAGCCTGGGGGGTGGAGATGAGTTCTCTCTGCACAAGGCCTCCTGTTAGATCAGAGTTACTGGGCGGGGGGTGAGAAGACAACACAAAATGGCCACCAGCAGAGTAGAAATCCAGGTCTTGGGGCTCTGCGGGCACCTCCTGGGCAGCTGGGGGCATGGTCTTGGTGCCAGGGAGGGTTTGGCCTATCGAGACCTTCTCCTGGTTTAATGCATGGAGCCAGGGCCAAAGTGACAGAGCCCTGAAGAATATAGGGGGTTAATAAGGGACCTTCCAAAGGAAAAAAAAGAGCAGCACAGATGTGGGAGACGATCGAAGTTACCATCATTCCTTTATTTTTATGTGGGAGATCTCCATCATTACATACAAACCTCTGTGATCCAGGTGGAGACTACAGTAAGAGCCAGAATGTTTACATCCGTGTGTGGACAGACACACTGACATGTCAAGAGATCTGGGCTGGGGAGGGAGCAAACAAGTTCTGCTCTCAATCCAAACGGAAGGGGCTTGTTAAAAGAGGCTGATTATGGGGGGGGGGGGGCATTACTTCTGAGGCAGAGGGGCACATCTCAAGGTGACTCAGGGCTGTCTCAGGGAGAGTTGGAGGGTCAACCCTGCCGCTGCTGCACTGGCTGCTCTGGGGCATGGGATGGAGAGGTGGACAGCAGCCTTTCTTCCTCCGCCCCTGAACGGGCTTCCTATTTGGCTGCAGGGCGTGCCTAGCTAGAGTAGAGGGCAGCACGCTCACCACCCACTCACCTCCCTGCTAAGGTCCTGGAGAGAACTTTGGGAAGGCCACAAATGGTCCACAGGACCACCGCACCAGCCTGTGCCCCCAAGCTGTGCATGCCGAGGGCTCAGAGGACAATCCTGCGGTCCAGCTGGTCCCCACGTCCACTCCGCTGGTGTCTCATCTCCAGATGCTTGTTCTGGACCCTGTCAAAGTGCTGCAGTAGGTCCACATAGTCAATGCTGGGGGAATCCACCTTCCGGGAGCTTGGGGCTGAATTCACACTGTCCCTGAGAAGCCAGAAACAGAGAGAACGTCATGAGTCAGGGGAATGCCCGGCCAGGGCTGTTTGCCCTGCCACACTATGGGAAACCTAGCCCTGGTGAGAGTGTCAGAAATGTGGACGACCAGTAATGAAGAAGTCAGTGACTGGGGTTCAGGCAGACTGTCCCTTGCCTAGAGGGCAAACTGACATTAAAAACAGTAACAAAAAATAAACTTTCCAGGCAGAGAGCAGCCTGTCTTCTCTTCCCTAATGTTTAACAAATGTTTGAAAAACAAAGTGCATATGGTAGGTGCTTAACAAATGCTTTAAAGCTATGCAATTATAATGATCAAGCTAGGATCTCGGAGAATTGAAAAGAAATCTTCCTTCCGTACAGAGGTGGCGGACTACGGGTGTGGAACACTGCACACAACTGTCTCCTGCTGGGCATGGTGGATGGCTTTGCTGGACTGTATCTGCTTGGTTACAAGAGCAGGTTTGACGGAGGTGAGAAGAGGAGTATATGAAAAAATGAGTGTAATCTAAGGAAAAAACCAGGGATTGCAGTGCCTCCAACTCCGATAGTTGTTGCTGTCCATTTCCCGCCCAGTTCAGTCGTTCAGCTCCATCTCTCTGTGACCCCATTTGGGGTTTTCTTGGCAAAGCTACTGGACTGGTATGCCATTTCTTCTCCAGATGAATTTACAGATAAGGAAACTGAAAAAACAGGATTACGTAACTTGCCCATGGTCGCATAGCTGCTAAGTGTCTGAGGCTGCATTTGAACTCAGGAAGATGTCTTCCTGACCTCAGGCCTGGTGCACTATCCATTATGCTCATATTAAAGGCAGTGGCAAAGGCCCTACTGCTGACTTCTCGTCACGGTGAGTGGGTGACCCTGGGTCACACCAGTGATAGCCGAGAAGGCTGCAAACATGAGCAGGCGGACAGACTTGCCCAAGGACCACCCCTGTAAAGCTGGATCAGCCTCACCACCTGCTGGCTCCCAGGGTCACGACAGATTTTTGCTACAAGCATTTTCAAAGATGATTTACTAACTGGTAGAAGGCTGTGATCTGTGTTGGTGGAAGGAGCACCTACGCTGAGGAAACTCTGTGATGGGTTAGAGAGACCAGAGACCAACCCTGGCTTGTGTCTCCACTGCTCTGGAGGACCGGGTGAATGTCGATGCCTGCTGGTGGATGCCTTGGACTGCCCATCTTGGTTACTGGCCCCCATCCATGTGGCCCCTGGTTTGGCAGGGGTGGGATGGGACTGGAGACAGAGCCCAGAGCATACATCATTGGGAAGCATTTCCTGTTTATGAGTTTCTCCCGGAGGGGAGGGGGACTGAACGACATTTGAGCTAGCAACAAGCCAGAAGCCAGCTGGGGCTCCAGGATGGGCCGGGATGGGTGGGTGCTATGCTGGAGGGAAGAGGCTTAGCCCTCTGAGCGGGTCAGGGTAAGGCCTTGGGAAAAGGCTGGAGATGCTAGGTCCGGGGCAGCTGAGGACATTCATAGCCAGGCAGAAAGGCAGCCGAAGCCTGGCCCGGCCGGGAGCTCTTGCGGCTGCCCCACACGCTGACCTCTTTGCTGCCCCCTCGTCCCCCAGCTTTGGTCACGGTCTCTGCCCCTCATCTTCGTTCCTCTAGCCATCCTCAAGGCGTCCAGAGCCTGAGGGGGGCTCCTCACGGAATTCCGTCCCCTCCCTAACTCCTCACCCCCACGGCTGCACTTGGATTCCTCCTGCTGAGATTCTAACAAAATATTTAACATTTTTGGTTTCAGCAAGATGTGAAACCACAGCTCTGCCTCTCCCCTTCCCGCCTGCTCTGAGGGAGCCAGAGGCATGTTGAGAGGATGCGCCAATGGCTTCCACCTCAGGGCATGGAGTAGCCCTCAGTGAGGGCCACCCATGGGAAGCTGGGGCACTGGCTGGCTCAGGGACAGAAGCCGTCCTCGCAGGTGGGCCCAGACTCCTTCAACCTCATGTGGAGGGGCTCACGATGCGGTCAAATAGCAGGAGGTACAGAACGCTGCCACGTGAGCTTTGAGGAAAGATAGGCCTGCAGCTTCCTGGTTCAATCCACGCCCTGGGTGGGGATCCCTCCTTGGAGTTGGCTGGGCTGGCCCCAGGAGACGAGGCCACTGGGCAGCATCCAGACGGTCCATCGTGGGAAGGTCCTCTGGGAGCATCAATCCTGGGCTAAAGCCGAGACCCTTGTGCATTTCCCAAGATGCCCACCATCAGAGACACAGCAGCATTCACGCCCCGTGTGGCCCCCTGTTCTCCAGAGATCAGATCTCCTTGAAGCTCTCCCTGGACCACACACAGTCTGGGGAGTCTTGAGCTACGGGTGGGGTTCTTCAGGCCCGATGCCCCAAGTTTCTAGTGGGGAAAGCCAGCCTTGCGTACCACTTGAAGGTTTGCAAAGCACTCAACACGGTATCTCATTTGGTGCTCATGAGAACTCTTGCAGGAAGGCGCATTATTATCCCCATTCTACAGATCCACCGAGGGCAGACCAAGGCGACGTGGTTGGTCCAGGACTCCAGAGCTCAGACCAGGTCTTCCTAGCTCCAAATCTAGCTTCCTTCCACCTTTGCTGCCTGGCTGTTGCCACATCCCTGGACACAGAGCGCTTCACCCACCCTTCGACACACAGGCACCTAAAGGCACCTGAGTCCTGCCCCTGGCAACCCAAGGACTTCACGTCCAGAAGGAAACAAGATTAGGGGTTCCCCGGGAGACGGGAGAGCACATGGTTAGCTAATGCCAGGCCTCGTGCATGAATGCGGCCAGGCCTGGGGGGTGGGGAGAAGATGGACAGTGGTCAGCTGGATCCACTTTCCCCTGCCCAGTTCTGCTAGGAACCCTGCCCCCAGCAGAGGCTGCCTGCTCTTGCCTCTGGGGGGCTGTTTGGATAGGTTTATTTTCAGCTTGGGTTGGATGGAGCACAGAGAGTGCTCATCTCCCCAGGGGTGGGCTTAAGCCCAGAGTCATGCCCAGGAGTGTGGAGCTGGGGGAGGAGCTCTGTTAGCAAGACTTCTTTCCTGGGAAGGTTGATTCTGGCCTCAGCTGGGAAGGCAGGGGTGAGGGGGCTACTTTCCCAGGAGGTTCTGGTGGGCATCAGAAGGTCTCCTGTCCTCCAGACCCAATCCTTCCCTCTGGCCTCACTGGGGAGAGGCTCTCCTAGGCCGCCATCGTTCTGGAAGGGGGTGGAGAGGCCTGTGGTCTCAGGGTATGTTCCTGAAGGGTGATGAGGCCACTCCCAAGAAAACGGCATCAAGGATCAGCAAGTGTCTCTGAAAACCAACTCAGCTGTTTGTTCCCACATGCTGAGGCCCCACTCCCTGGGCAACCTGACACGGATGCCCAGCTGTCTGCCAGTCAGGGCCTTCAAAGACAGTCCGCTCGGCCCCAGTGCAGCGACCTTGCCCCTCCTGCCCCCCTCCCAGCTGCTGCTGAGACCCCTCTTTATCCTCACCCCACTCCCCTTCTATTTTTGTTGAGGCCACTTTGTGACCAAGGCCAAGGTAAAAGCAGATGAAGTAGCTACGGAAGGTCCTGGAGAGCTCAGCTTCCAGGCTCATGACGCCTGCATTTACAGAGAAAAGAAACAGGGAGGCCAGAATCAGAAGGCAGGTCTCCTGACTCCTGACTTCAGAGAAAGCTCAACTGGGACAGAAATCCAAGTTCTTCTTGTAGTTGTTAACAAACTGCCAGCTTTCTAGATTAGGACTGCTCTCCCTCTGGCCATGGGAGAGTTTTGGGGGACACTCCTCTTCCCTCTGCCCCCCTCAGGGTAGGTGGTGCCAGGAAGGCTCCTCAGCAGGGCCTGGGCTCTCATCATATCCAAGAGCCAACTTAGCTCTAAGTCCAGGTGACCTAAAACAGTGAGTGTACTGGCAAGACCCCACTCTCAGACACGAAGACCAGAAGCACTGTCACTTGGCCAAAGACAGGAATGGAGGACAGAGGAATTACCTAACAGCAGCATGGGCCCCACACAGACCTCATCATCCAGGTACACTGGCCTCCTGGGCTGCTACGCATACATGACACACCATCTCCTGACGCCAGGCCTTTCCCCTGGCTGTGCCCCATGCCTGGAACACTCCCTCCTCATCTTCATCTCCTGGCTTCCCTCAAGTTCTTCTATAAGAAAGTTCTCCCAGGGGCAGCTAGGTGGCACAGTGGATAGAGCACTGGCCCTGGAGTCAGGAGGACCTGAGTTCAAATCCGGCCTCAGACATATAACACTCACTAGCTGTGAGACTCTGGGCAAGTCACTTAACCCCAATTGCCTTACCAAAAACAAAACAAAACAAAAAACAAAAACCCCCAAACCCCAAACAAACAAGAAGGCTCTTCCAGTGCCCTGAAGGCTGGTGGATATCCTCCACTTTATCCTGTCTCTAGCCTGTCTGGCCATAGCTGCTGGCTTGTCATGTCCTTAGGTACCCCAGGAGTGCCTGGAGAGTAGTAGACATCATCTGGCCTTTCTTGGTATCTGCAGCACATAACACAGGGCCTGGCACACAGCAGATGACTAATAAATTCCTTCTGCCTTGACTTGACTCATCCTCTGACCTCTCCCCACCTCAGACAAGCACTCCTAGGAGACCTGTTCTCACATCTGCATTAGGCAATACCCACAGCTCTGAATCTTAACCTGGCATCTTTTCCTTTCAACAGAAGGAGGTGAGGAATGGGGGGAGGGCACCAGCTTAGGGTAGCCAACATCAAATTGCCAAGGGCCTGCCCTCTTTTGAACCCAGGGTCTTAGGAGAATTAGTGTCCCTGAGGACAGAAACAGCCTCCCCAAGTGGTCCCAGAAAATGTGTGTGGTTCCCACTAAGCAGGGAACCTTGGGTAGTCTCGCTGGTCTAGGCTGAGGTCAGTCAGAGACTTAGAGTAAGGGTAAGGGACCCCTTCCAGATACTCCTGCCCTCACTAAACCCCTGCCAGTGCCTTTGGCCCTGGGTATGACACAGCCAAGCAGAGGTGGTGAGACAATGGGTAGGCCCCACGGCTGCTCTCCCCCAGAGTGGGGGTGTGTGTGTGATGGAATGTAAGTCACTGCTAATCAGACTTCAGGCTGACAGCTCTACAGGCCGGGCGGTGGCCAGTGGAGGGAGGGGAGGGTGTTCTCTCTCTGGCTGTCCTACAGTATCACTCTCAATCATGCAATCCCACCTCTCTTTTCCAGAGGCACAGAGACCAAGCCCTCCGCTACGTTGGCAGGGCTGGATGTGTGACCACTCCAGGCCTCTCAGCCAAGGAAAGTAGAAACCTGGTCAGCAGAAAGCCCAACTGAGCTCTGCCTTCTAGCCCTCTCTGAAGGCTCCCTGCTTTCTGGGGTGGAGGTGGGTTGGAGACATGGGCTGCCACCAGGACCGTTCAGTAGGCCAGCCCCAACGGACAGCTATCCAGCTTACCCTTGCGGCCCATGTGTGGGAGAGAGGAGAACTGGCAAATCACAGCAGTGCCCTTGAACTCTATCTAGGAAAAGGGGTGGGAAGGAGTTGGGTTGGGCTGGGACTTAAACCAGGGGAAGGAAAAAAGTCCAAGGCATGCCTTCCTTGAGCCCTGAATCCAAGGGCAAATGCAGCTCTCCAGCTGGGCTTCGTCACCCCCCAGCAGCGCTCAGACTGAGAGAGCACAGTCATCCCCACTCCTGTGTGGGGAAAGCAAGGCGTGGGATGGCAAACAGGCCAAGGAAATCTTGGAATGCAGAGGTCTGGGCTAATGCTGTATCTAGTAAGGTGGGAGGGTGAAGGACAGTCAGAGCAGGTCAGATGAGCTGGCAAGGAGAAGTCACTCCTCCCAGAACCAGAGAGCAGGCTCCGTGGGGGCTGTTTCGAGGGGCTCCTCCTCCCCACCCCGGCCAACTGGGCTGTAGCAAGGTTGGCCCAATCATCACACAACCTGGGGGGTGGGGTGGGGGTGGGGAGAGAGGGATTCCAAACAAATGGGGGCATCTGATTCAAGCTGGGCTCCCTCCATTCAGTGGAAATCTTCTCCCTGGCTCTGCCTGTTTCCATGGTGACCTGACAAGTGAAATTTTCCATCTCAGATGCCAAATGCCTGTGGATGAGGCAGAGCCCTCCAAGGGTTACCAAATATAGACAAAACCCAACAGGCTCCTAGGGCCCGGCTGGGGATGGACTCATGGGTGGGAGCCTCCCCCTCCCCCACCCCTGGGGCAAAGGCCCAGCTCTCCAGAGGCCGCCAGAGCGGGGGAGCCCTCTTAGGTGTGCCTGGTGCTAGACCCAGAACATGGCTGCCCCAAGCCCGCTGCATTCTGGGACCTGTGCTCATACCCAGCCAACAGCTGGCAAACAGTCAACAACCCTTGTGGGCCCCTCAGTAGCTTCCAAGACATGTCCCTCGGTCCCCAGGATGCCAATGTTTCCTCTCCTCCTTCTGTCCAACTGTCCCGGGAGGCAGGTCAATGGCTCAAGGCTTGGCCTTCTCTGTATTCAGGGGCTGGAGCTCAGGAAACCAAAAGTCTAAAGGCTCCCCAGCCAGGTCTTTGGAACCAGGGGGCTGGGAAGATGCCTGTAGGGAGCGAGGCCTATCTACCCTGTCTGGACATCCTTTTCTCTGGCTGGCACTGCTGGTGCTGCCCACATTTCTCTCCAAACTTCACTCTTTCACTAATTATGATAACCTTTGACTTTTTGGGATCACATAACAGCCTGGGGTACATCAAAGGCTTGCTCTGAATTGTTTCAGAAAAGCATTTCCAGGAGGTGCTAACCTGCCAACACCCAATGGCTTCTCCATATTCCCACTCCAGGTGTGCGGCCATCTGCCGCACGGTTCACAGATCCCTCTTAGCCTGGCACCAGAAACCCTGGGCCTGGTCACCTGCATGGGCTCAGCACAACACTGCACCCTGACGGAATCCCGCTGCAGCAAGGGAAGGAAGCCTTAGCCATGGCTTTCCCACTCAGCGAGCGTCCCCAGGACTGCCTTCAAAGGTTCTCCCCTCTGGCAGGACGGGCGGGGGGCGCTGGGCTGGGACACCCTGGGAGGCCCTCGGGGAGATGCGGCCAGCCTGGGGCACTTACTCGGTCTGCATGAGCTCTGGGTTGGGCACGCACTGCAGGCGGTGGGAGAGGAGCTGGAAGGCACTGCTCTGAGGGAGAAGCATGAGCAGACCATACAAGGCCTTGATTAGGTAGGGGTTATTCTTCACGTCCAGCAGCTGCAGGCGCAGATCTGAGGAGAGATGGAGGGAGGTGATGAGAAAGTCTCCGGCCCTGCTCCCTGGCTCTGGACTGGCGCCCCAGCTCCCCCATCCCCATCTCTGTCCAACCTTCGAGGTTAAAGCCCCTTTAGCCAGCAGCAGAGGAACGAGGACGAGCAGGAGCCGTCCCACGATGAGGCTGGCCATTCTCTGTGCTGAACTCCATCTCCTTGTCTCTCCCATACGGAGCTAGGCCTTCCTCACTGGGAGAGTAGTCCCCCCCACCTTTCACGTACTCCCGTCCTTCATGATGATTCCCTTGTTCCCCTAGGGTCAATGGGATGAGGGGAATCCCCCCCGTTTCCCAGGGCTTGCCACATCACTGTTCTTGGGCTTGGTCCTGACTGGACAAGAGAATAAACAGCCTTGCTCTATCGAGAAGACACAGGGTCAAGGGGAGATTTTATCTCCTTTCCATCCTAAAGACCCATCTTTCTTTCTAGTCTTAGGCCCTCCTTCTCAGGAAGGGCAGATGTCTGAGGTGGGAGGAAAAGTAAGCCCTGGTCTGTTATTTTCCTTTGACAATCTGATGTTTTACACAAAGAACCAGGAGCTTGAGCTTGCCCTGAGACCCCAGAGCAGAGAAGGGGAGCTAGTCCCTGGCTTGCCCTTGGCTCCTCACCAAACCCACCACAGGGCCTGGTTCATCAGCTAATTCATCCCCTCTTTCCCAGGTGCTCAGCTACCATCCTCACGAGAGGGTCTAATGCTTGTAGCAGATTCCTGTGTCTACTTCTGCGCGTGCCAGCACGGCAGAGCTATAAATAGTGTGATCTGGGGAGAAACGCAGTGGATTAGGACAGCTTGAAGGGAGGACAGAATGGAAAAATGCTTTCATATTTGGCTAAACACACACACACACACACACACACACACAGAAAGAGTGTGCTCGCGAGAGCATCTGGCTTCTAAGTGCAGAGGAAGCTGGCTGGCGGATGCTTCTGGAGATCAGACTGAAATCGTACTCCAACATGCTGCCTCTCTAGACTTCCCAGGTTGGGAAATTCCCCCTATGCCAACTGAGGGTGAGGGAGGGTGGAGATGAATGGGATGCCTCCCTTTTGGGTCTGTTTCTAAAGAAGGGCAGGGAAGCATGAGGCAAAGAACATGCATGAGATCTGCATTAGCAGCGCCAAGACTGGGCTTTCTGGGCCACCCTTGGATGAGAGGGGTGCAACCTCCTGACAGCCTGGGGTTGCTTTGGCCTCAGCCCATAGCAGCTTCTGAAGGCAGAGAGCCACTCCTTACCTATGAACGAGAGAGTCTGAAGCAAGGCAGACTGTCCTTTTGAGAAGTGGACATTTGGGCTTTAAACTGGATGAACAAATCTGATTTTGCTGCTTGCTCCCTGAAACATTTCCCTTGTCTCTTCTCTGAGGGGAACTCACAATCCTCTACTTGCAGCAGCCCTACAATTATTCCCCTGCTAGCAGCCAGGTCAGTGAAATCCAAGATCACTGCTTGGGCAATGCCAGGCCAGGAAGAAACATGGCCTGTGAAAGGCCATGGGGAATTCCCTTTTTATTGGTGAGAGAGGGCAGGAAGGAACCTGTGGATGCCCTCAGAAGACCCTGAGCTGCACTCGGCACCACATTCTAAGGTGAGGACCCGATGCTCTGTCCTGGACTGTGCTTTCATGGTGGGGATAGGGAGGTGGACGGTAGCTCGGGGGATACTCTGGAGCTTGGGGGCTAGTTGGCAGTCACTGCAGTAAGTGATGGCCTTCTACACACTGGAAGTGTCTGCATGAGCCCCGCAGAAGGAAGGTTCTTTAAACCATCTATCTGGCCAGCTGGATCAGGCCTACAAGCCTTAACAATGGCTCCAGAGAACTCTAGCCCAGGAGTCTTCATTCATCAAAGCAATGGGATGCTTAGATTCCTCTCCTCTGGGTCCATCCAGAGGAAATCATCACTCTCTTGTCGGTTTTTAAAAAACAGCTGTTCAACTAGTTCCTGCCTCCAGCAAGCATACGGCATTCAATTAAGACAACAACAAAGAGTGGCACATTCTTTGTAGACGTCCTCTTTGTCTAACGAGACACTGAGCCCCATGAGGACAGGGCTCACTCAGCACACAGTAGGTGTTCAATGACTTTTATTGATGGAAAGGACTGTCCCTAGTTTTGGAGGGGGTTGGTGTTGGGTGTGACAGACCTTGAAGGCTAGGTGTCCACTGCCTGGTGCTGAAGGAGAGGAACAAATTGGTTTTGAGGACTGGATCAAACCCGAGCCTTGGTGGGCTGTTGTCTCTGGTAAAAGGCAGCCAGAAGGGAAGAGAAGAAAGAGCCCCTTGGGAGGGGCGGTTGTTAACGCATCCTTCTGGGAAACAGGGTCTCTCTCTGTTTCCATGGCACCAATCACTGGGGTAGCCTACTGATGACGCAAGCCAGCCACATGAATGTGAGATGAGTTGAGGCAAAAATCTCCCTTACTCTGAATCCAGCCTCGTCGTCCAAGGGATGGGGGGTGCTGTGAGAAACAGGCACACCATGGAAGGGTATCCATCCACACTGGCTGGAGGCAGAGACCAGGACTGTCTGGTGGGAGAGGCAACCTGCACAGGCCTATTCCCCAGCTCCTCCAGGGCATGTGCTTCTAGCCATACTGTAAATACATATGTTTCAGAGCAGTGTCTCCTCAGAAGCATGGGAGGTGTGAGTGTTTCTAAGCCAGACTGCTCTCCCCACTGGCTGCCACTCTCACTCGGCCTGTGTGTGAGTAAGCATGATTATTTCTGCTCTGCTCCCAGCAGACAGTACCTCCTCTTTTTACTTTAAGGTGATAAGGACTCCATTCTCCGGCCACCAACAGGACAGATAGTTCAGGGCTCTTACATGAATAGATAAGACCCTGGGAGTTGGGAAGGTACTTGAAGGAAGCCTTGCTTGTGTCAAGAAACCCTGAATGTCAGGGAAAGGTCTGGGGAAATCCCCCCAAAGCTTAGGGGGCCGGGCTAGGACCATCCCAAAAGGAGACTCGGAGAGACTCTTTACTATGTCCATCTTCCTGCTGCTGGGGCAGCGGAATGACTAAAAAGGATCACTGTCCATGGCACAGAGTTGTACCCTCAAAACTGAGCTGGGCATAGGTGATCACCGCATGTCCTCCAACTGTATTATACAGGACCATGTTTGGAACATGCTCATCTTCACCAGGCTCCTCCAGGGCTTCTATCTTTCCCTGCTGTCTCACACTGTTTCCCCTTTTCCCTAAACAAGAAGCCTCCCAGATCGATTTCTCTCGTCCCCCATCACTGTTCTGCTCCAGCCCCAAGCTCCGTCCCCCTTCTCAGACCCCTTCAGCTGACAGCCCTTCATGGTGGGGGTAAGCTCTGCTCTGCACACAATCAGAGGCTCTCCAAAGGTTCTGGTTGGCCCCTGGCAGAAAGACACATAACTTCTGCTCTATTTACTTGTAGAGCTGGAGTGATTGGTTGGGGAAGAAAGTGGGGCCCTACACGAAGGCACTTGAGTGGGCGCACACACACGCGTGCGCGCGCGCGCACACACACACACACACACACACTCTTGAATGCTCTTACATGTGAAAATGGGACACTCAATCAGTTGCACAAGCTTGTCCACTTCAGTGAGGAAATCCACAGTGACCTCTAGATCACCACTGGACATTTAGTCAAGGAAAGAGGACCTTAATCAGAAAACTACTTTTTTACTGGAAAAACTGCATGGAATCCCACTGAGGCTGGGCCTAGGCAGGATCCAGGGCACGAAGTGGCTGTCAGGGCGCACGCGACCAGCTGCCCGCTCTCTTGACATTCCCCCATTCTAGGGAAGTGAGGCAGTCAGACTGAAGAAGTGAGGAGAGCATCTGGGAAGAGCCTGGCTCATAAGGTGGTGTTCAGAACAGAACCAACGGGTTCCAATCGCCTTCTCCCTAGCTCAGACTCCCACCCTGGGCTTGGTGCCCATGGGTAGAGCCAGGTTCGATATAAATGAGAATGGAATTTTTTTTTTCCCCATTTACTCTCTGCTGCTCTTAATGAGAAGCAGGGCAAGGTTTCCCTCCTTATAAGTGAACTGTTTCCGCTTCCCCAGCTCTCCCCTCTCTGGCCTGCCACATTCTGACATGGCCTTATCCACTGCAGCCCAGCCTCCTGCTGCCTCAGTGAGGTGGAAGATGTCAGAGAGAGGAAAGGCCTAGAGCTCTGACAGCAGTGGGAGGGCCTACACTGGTGGCCTGAGCAGATGCATAACAGAAGCCTGAAGAGTTGTCACTGTCATCCGTGTACCTCTGGGTTAGACCATCCACTGGTCTTCAGGGTAGCAGAGGTCAGAGAGGGAAGGCTATGCAGACCTCTGCTGATGAGATCAGCCCAGGGAGGGAATCCTTTCGAGCCTTCCTGCCTCTTCCCCAAGGGCCAAGTTCTGTCCTAACCTGAAGCAGTACCAGGAACACTGCTTCAGTCTCCCCCTTCTACCACATTCCTCCTCTGCCAGCTCCCCACCCCCAGTGTTGCTCCAGGACTCCCCCTGTCCAGTGGCTCTGGGCGGGGCACACGGCCCTGTGTGCCCACCACATGCACTGGCAGCCGTAGAAAAGGATACAACTTCTGGATGAGGTCGTAGGCGTGCCGGTAGTTTTGGGTAAGGAAGCAGAGGGACACCGTCGTGACTGGGTTGTGGCACCAGGACCGGTACAGACAGCAAAACAAGCTTTGGCTCTCCTGCGAGACGAGAAAACGAGGAGTGGGCAGGGAGCTGGGCGGTGCAGGTGAGGGGCGGCAAGGCCGGGGCCCAGAGCTGTGGGGGCAGGGAGGAGCCAATGGGACGTGGAGCCAGCGCCGACTGCCTCCCCGTGGCTGTGGGTTGGTTGCAAGTTAGGAAACCTCCACCCTGCTTCTGACTGTTATTACTGGCCCATCTGACTTTGAGAAACTCATTTCACTCCCTGGGCCCTCATTTGTCAGGCCCCGAAGCGACAGGAGTCAAATCCCCTGGGGGCTGAGGCCAGGCTGGAAGGAAGGCCTCTCATTTGTGCTGGCTTTTTGGCCTTCAGCAAAACTAGGCTAATTGGTTCCCTGGACACTGTGGCTGGCTCTGGGAGAGGCACAGGGAGCTGGGCGGGCTAGGGCCTCACCTGTCCCTGCAGCATCCCACTCTGAGGCACTCACCACATGATATCAGGTCCTCCTACTGCTTCCCAGGTTTCCCAACCCCATGGAGAGGGTCACCCAAAGGCTGAGCCTGAGCTGAAGGGAATTTCTGCCCCAAGGGAAAATTCTTGAGGAATCTGCAAGTGTCTGGAAATAACCGCAGTGATGATGGCTCCTTCCAAGAAGTCCAGAGCAGTTTACAGATACGGACTTGTTTATCCCTAAGAAGCCCATGTGAGGCATGTCCGGCGAAACTTGCTATTTAGAAGGGAAGACACAAGGCTTAGAAAGAGGGAACGAGATCCCCGAGGTCAGCTGGCATCTGGAGCTGAGCTCGGCTGACTTGGGGGATCTGGGTTCCGATTCTAGCCATGAGGCTTGTGGTCACCCTCACCAGGGTCTATCGGCTTCCCCTGCTGCCCCTTGATCTCATGTCTAATTCCAGCTTTGTGTGTGCTTAGGACTCTGGGCCCACACTGAAGACCAACCTCTCTGGGTGTCCACATGACTTTTTAATCCCCCCAGTGAACGCCCCCTCCCCCAATCATATTCTTTCCCAATTCACAGCTTTTAGCGTCTTCCTCTCTGCTAAGCCTGGGATGAGACACTGGGCTCTGCCAAAGAAAGTCTGTGGCAGAAAGCTGTGGTTCTAGCTGGGCTCATCTGCAGTCTCCTTCCTGCCTCTCCAACCACCCTGACTCAGAGTCATCAGACGGAGCCCAATTTGTCCTCAGAGACAGAAAGGCAACAACGTGAGACTGCTCCTGCGTACAGATGTGCGCAGCTGCAGGGGAGAAAGGCGAGGGGCCTTGGGGGATGAGGTCCTATAGTTTATGAAAACACAGTGGGACTGCTGCCCCGGACCTTCTCCCCTTCACACATGAAAGCGCTCTGAAGCTTCATGGCCTGTCCCCAGACACAGGGGCTGGATACCAAGCTGCTCTAGTCATGGACCCCGGAATTCTCCTCCACTCGTGGAGGCAAAGTCCCCCCAAGTCTCTCGACTGTCAACAGGGACCTCAGAGAACCCTGCGCTGCTATCTGGATTCTTTATTAGCCTGGCTGATGGGAAAATTATGGCGGGTGCATGTTTTTTTAACTGAGGATGGGATGGGGAAGGAGAGAGGGACATGGGAGGTTTCCAGGGCTGGGATGGCCCACAGACATAAGGCAAGGATCCTGAGCTCTCCTCAGGAGATTTCTTGGGAAAAAACAGGGTTGGAAATACAGTGGTGGTGTACTTCTGAGATAGGAGCATTTGGCTACTTACCAAGGGTGATTCAACTTTTATGCTAAGTTAGTAAAGAAACTCTGAATGACAATTCTGTTTACTCCTGGTGCTCTTGGGGTTTGGAGGTGGGAAAGGAATGGGGGATATGAGGAGTAGCTGGGCCAGGAAATTTCTGTACTTATTTGCAAGACTACATTACACACTTCATGGCAAAGGGAAGAGACTTGTGGGAATGTCTGAGGATTAAGTACCAGAGTCTTCAGATCTTTGAGCTGATTTCTTAGCTGGAAGAGCTCTGTGGAGGTCAGTAAGATAGTGTTGAGGGTGTGAACCATCGTGGAGGCAAATTTGAGGTCTTCTTCTCGAAGAAGGATGTCGGCCATAGAGTGGAAGATGTTTTCAGCATTCAACAGTAGACAGAGCTGCCTGTACAAGACAGAATAAAACACTTAGGGTTAGGTGACTGGGCAGGGCAAGTCCCAAGGGACCCTTCGCTCGTCCCTTCTTCCTGACCTCAGCCAGGGGCCAGGGGCCAGGGGCAGGACACCATGGAGAACTCCTCGTCTGAGGGTCAGCAGAGGAGCCTGCCAGGCCAGGCAGGGTATCAGTGCTCTGGTTCTTTGTGTAACCGGCACTATCCTTCACGGCGAGCCTTGTGCTGGCAGAAGGGGGCTTGTTTAAACAAGCAAAGATCCAGAAAGAGGCTGGACTCCATTCCTTCCAACAAATCTCACCTTTGCTACAGATCCAGAGTGTAACACCCACATCCTGACCTCATTAACTCTCGACAGCCCCAAAAGGCTAAAAAGCTGGAGGCTAAGGGAAAGTCTTGCTGGGGATTCTGTTAGACCCATTAACTATCTTCTCTGTTAAAGACTGGGAAGCAAACAGGTACCTGAGACTGAACCTCCAGAGGGACCCTCAGGGTGCTGTCTTTCATGCTTACTTGCTTGGCCATGGGGGAGCAGAGAGAGAGAGAGAGAGAGAGAGAGAGAGAGAGAGAGAGAGAGAGAGAG